GTTTAAGCTTGAGGCCTTAGACTTGTGCTTTGTCGTCTCCCCCTGCCGCTTCTTGGTACGGTTTCTCTGTCTTTTCTCTGAGCATCAGTATCAGTATGCTCCTTGGTTCTTTGGGAATCCCTGGGTGGTTCAAGCTGTGACTGTTTCACTGCTCAAGTGAAGCTTGGTGGGAGACGTGCACCCATAAGCCCCTGGGAAGAACGGCTTGGAGTTCCACTTTGTTGTTGTTAGGTGCCATTGAGTCGACTACACGTCACAGCCACCCTGTGAATGGAAGAGCCTTGCCCCGTCTCACCTCATCCTCACAATCTCCAGCAGGCTCAAGTCCACTGTCAAAGTCACTGTGCCAGTCCATCTCATCGAGGGTCTTCCTGTTTCTGTCATCCTCCACCTTCCCAGCATAATGTCTTTTTTCAAGAACTTGGCTTCTCTACATCCAAAGTGATACAATTTAACTATCTTTGCATCTAAGTAACACCCTGGTTATACTTCCTGTAAGACAGAGTTGTCCTTTTGGCAGTCCATGGGATCTTCAGACCTCCAACATTATAATTCAAAGGCGTCCATTCTTCTTCGGTCTTAATCTTATTCATTGTCCTAATTACAGATGTGTAGGAAGTGATTGAAAATGCCATGGCTTGAATCAGGCACACCTTAGTCCTTCATCTGACTTCATGGCTCCTTAATTTAACGACTGAAAACCCTGTGGGTCACAGCCCAGCTCCGACACTCACATAGGGTCAGAATGAGTTGGCGCTGACACGAATCAGCTGATGGTGGGCATTTTCTTTTTCCAAGTCAACAGTTTAAAGCATAGAGTTGGATGACATTGATGACATTCTCTGTGTCTTGACTGTCATCTCCAAATTTTCTGACTTATTCCAGCACCACTGACAGGAACTCGGTGCTCTGTAAGTGGTCACTCCTCTGCCCCTGCCACCTGCACCCGTGGTAATCACTGAAGAGTTCTGTACTGTTCTGTTCTAGTTTGTCATGTGAGTGAGATTCTACAGTGTTGTCGGTTTGTGACAGAACCCTTTTTTGTTGTTGATTTTCACAAAAGCATCAGGGATGGTCCAGGGGACTTCTCTGGTCACTAGGAAACTGGCTTTTACACTCTTACTTTGCATCTAATCTCCATTGTCTTTATTGTTCATTGGTTTCCAGCCAAAGAGATTGACTCCTGATTCTAATCACCACCGTCATTAGAGAGCAATAACCATGTACGTGACAACCTGATTTAACCCTCTACTTCCGGAGGAAAACCTCTGGAGATTGGCTTGAGGTGGCGAGATGAACTCGCCCAAGGTCACGGCAGTGAACTTGAGCTGATGATCTTGACTGCTTTTTGAAAGCAGAGGTCTAGGACTCCAGAGTAGTATGGGGATTTGTTTTATCTCAGACTCTCTTCTAGCCAACAGAATTTTCAGTCCTTTTCAAGATACTTCAAGCACTGAGGAATTTTAAGAGCTGGCATTTTAAGGAAAGCAAAGTATGTCCTCTTGGCTAATTTAAAAAACCCCTTAACAGTGACCATCTAGCCTTGGTTTTTAAGGTTGGGATCTTGTGTTAACACGTGCTCACATTAACCTTGTTCTGTTTGTTCTCTGCTCTCTGCTTGCTTGTTTGCACGAGGTGGGTTTGAGAGCCTAAAGGATTATTATGTCCATGGTCTCAAGGTTATTCGGTTAACTCTTTGGGAGCAAATTGTGTCCACTGTTTCCTTTTCTCTATTGACTGAGGGGCTGCGGTGTCCCCCTCCAGTCCATGCTAAATGGTCATTTATTTGATGCTCAAAGAGCCTAACTTGAAGTTTAGTTATTTGCTCCTGGATTGATGCATCTTTAAGCGTAATTAATCATTCTCCAAGTCCCCAGTGGAAATCTTTCTTTCCTTCCCCCAAAGTAGTTCATTGTCTTAATTATTTTAATGGGAGCAAAGACAGGCTTTATTGATGGCTCGATAAATCTGCAGCAGCGATTTCAGGCCACTTGGATGTGGTCCGTCTGAACAGCAGAGCCTTCACAGCCCCTCTGTCAGCCCACTTAGTCTTCCCCACCGCCTGGCTCTGGATGGCCAACACCCTGGAACCACATGATCAAGTGACTTATTTGCAAATGCACCAGGAGAAGAAGAAAACCAAAGGCCCAGTCGGGTGACAGGGCCTCTGAGAGAGAGACAGGAGAGCAGACTGCAGCCAGACGTGCAGCTCCACAGACGTCAGGATGGTCTCACACACTTAAGTCAGGAAGGGCCAGTCCCTGGAGAAGGACACGATGCTGGGAAAAGTAGAGAGAGTCAGTGCGAGAGAGGAAGACCCTCGTCCAGAGGGACTGACAGAGTGACCACAAGCCTCACCTGTGTGGGATCCCACTTGTGGAGGGGGCAGAAGGTTCGCGTCAAGGGTGGAACATTTCATCCAGCCCTGAAGTCAGCGCCTTCAGGGCCACCCCCTCTCTCCCAGGCCGGCCTGTGATCTGAGGGCCCTCTGGACCTGGGAGAAGAACGCAGATGCTGGGTCCTTTGTGGGGGTGTTGTGAAGCGGCAGACATTTATCATTTCCTTTCTGAAGACCCTAAAGTGGCCTCATCGCTTCTCTCCAAGCCTGAAAACCACAGCCGCTGGCGATTCAACGGCACTTCTTCATTCTCCTCTAAGACAGAGGCCAATGCCCAGAGGGTTTCTGATCTTGACAGAGCGGATGCCGCGTTTCCTCCTGTGGAGAAGCTGCTATCTGTGAAAATGAAGTGGACTCGAGGATCTCAATCCTTTAAGGTTGTGTGGAATCTCTGGCCAGGGATTGGACTCTCTCACAAATGTTGTCCTGGGGGTCTGGGAATGGACAGAATTGGTTGTAGAAAGAAAGAACCTAAGCCTTGGAAAACTCTTGAACCCAGCTCAGCCTGGGCACCCGAGGGCTTTGGGCCAGCTTTACAGGTCGCAGTCTTCTATCTCCGTATATGGAGAAACCATCTAAGATGCCGCAGATTAAGGCCAGCTATGTCTGATAGGTAAGCGGGTGGCATCTTAACACCCAGTGATTAAAGTCCTCTGCAGCTTGCCTTGTTGTGGTAGTCGTTGTTGTTTTTGTTGTTGTGTCAACTGTGACTTATAGAAACTTCTAGAAGTCAGCTGTGACTTACAGAAACCCTGTGAACAGTAGCTCTGAACTCTGCCCTGTCCTGACATGATCTCTGACATAATTGAGCCTGTTGTTACGGTCACTCTTCCAGTCCAGCTCGTCAAGAGTCGTCTTCTGTCACTGACCCTCCATGTTTCCCAGCGTGATGTCCTAGTCCAAGGACAGGTGCTCCTGACATCATGCCCAAAGTACGTGAGATGCAGCTTTCCCATCCTTGCCACCAAGGGCCACCTGGTGCCCCTTTCTCCAGGACAGCCATGTTTGTCACTCACACCTCCCTTCATCCCCTGCACGCCACAGCAATAGCAGTGAATTTCAGGGATCTGCGTTCCAGCCAAAGTTCAGCCGCTCACCCTTGAAATAACCAGTCAAGGACTATGACAGCCAGCTGGACCCACAGCAGAATCACAGGGGGTCTCTGTGTCCTGTCACTGAGAAAGTCACCCTGGTGATTTTCACACCTGGTGTCTCCTCTGGCGATGTGGCCCCCACAGACCTCACGGTACTGCCTGTGCCACTCCATTCACCAGAAACTTCTGTTTGGAAGAGGCAGCTGCTGCTTCGTGACGTCTGCTTGTTCCTTCTGGCCCAGCCTCGTCAGCAGCTGCCACACTGGACTGTCCACGGGCCACCTCCTTGTGGCAGCTCGGTGTCCATTTCCCGGACCCCCTACACCAGGGCCCTTCCCACTTTGGTCCTGCTGGGGTTTGGACACCTCTCCCCTGACGGAGCTCCCTGCACTTTTCTGTCGGTGGTCTGTGATCTGCCTGGGCTCGCTCCGAAATGGCACAAATTCACACTCATGACACTTCTCTGAGCAACCCTCCTTACATGATGTCAGAAGTATGGAAGAGCCCTCCCAGACTGTTTTCTTTATACCTTTAAATAGTGGGCTGGTTTGGGGGTGAGGAGAGAAGGGAGAGAGAATCAGAGTTGAGAGAGTAAGAGAGAGCGTGTGTGTGTTAGAAGAGTTGTGGTTGTACACCCATGTTTATCTCAGCTTTGTTCACAGTAGCAAGGAGTTGGAAACAAACTAAGTGCCCACCAACAAATGAATGGATAGAGAAGCTGTGTTATATGCACACAGTGGAATACTATGCCGCATTGAAAAACAAGGAACTCATGCAATATAATTAAAAATGGGTGACCCTGGAGGACATTATGCTGAGTGAAATATCTCAGTCACAAAAGGACAAATACTGTATGGTGCCACTGTTGTAAAACAGGACTGACCTCGAGGGTGGGGGGAGACAGAGAAATATGGGATAAATTATGTGTACTGCATTGAAACAGATGAGGGAGAGAACTGTCTAAAAGGGATATATGATTAGGTATTATTGTCATGACTGGAGTCCAGAAGGAAGGCTGCACAGTGGAGTGGACTTGAGGGGAGGGATTGTGTAACAATGAAAGAATTTTTCTTTTACTTTTCGAAGAGAAGAGCAAACTAGGGTTGGGGGGTGGACTGGGGGAAAAGTGCAACAATGAATGAATGGAAATCCAAAGTCTCTGTAAACTTTCATTAAAATTAATAATAATAATAAAAAACTTAAGAGTGACGGAAGTGCAGGGAGAGACACCTGTTGATGTTTCAGCCAGACACACAGAGAAGCAAGACACTCCCTACAGTCTGTTCTACAGACCAGGTTGACTTTGACGTGGCTGCCACATAAACGGCCTCCAGTTGCTTTGATACTGTTTCTCTCTGGTGTGTCGTTTGTGTGCACATCAGAAGATGCCGTTGCTGGGCTGAAGCCGCGGTGAAGCTGCGTGAAATTGGCTGCTGCTTTTGTTTCTCTTTCTCCTTTGTGTGGGATCACAGGGACCCCCCGTCTGACTGTGTCTCCTTCTGAATCAGGTGGTGCTTCCCACGTTTATCCTGGAGAAGAGGTCCCTGCTGGAGATGTATGCAGACTTCATGGCGCACCCAGACCTGCTGCTGGCCGTCACCGCCGGAGCCACGCCCGAGGAGAGGGTCATTTGCTTCGTGGAGTATTATCTCACCGCCTTCCACGAGGGCCGCAAGGGGGCCTTGGCTAAGAAGCCGTACAACCCCATCATCGGCGAGACATTCCACTGCTCCTGGGAAGTTCCCAAGGACAAAGTCAAGTCCAGAAGGACTGCTTCCCCCCCTCCTGACGGTGGCCATGACCACGCCGTGGCTGATGACCCATCCAAAAGCTACAAGTTGAGGTTTGTGGCCGAGCAGGTGTCCCATCACCCCCCCATCTCCTGCTTCTACTGTGAGTGTAAGGAGAAGAAACTGTGTGTCAACACTCATGTATGGACCAAGAGCAAGTTCATGGGCATGTCTGTGGGCGTCTCGATGATAGGAGAAGGTAAGCATGTTGATGTTTGGCTCTTCCAGGTGGTGACTCATGGTCGAGTGTGTTTCGTTGTGGTTTTGGAGGTGGGCTTTATTACCTGGGGACCTTTTCTGCTCTCTGGGTCCAGTCTTTTACTGGTGGGATTAAAGGTGATGGAGTGGACGGGATGCAGCTATTTACCTGTCTAGCAGCCCAGCTCCGCTCTTCACTTGACGTGTATGCCTTACAGGGAATTTTTTTTCCAGCTTTGCATGAATATTAGAATTGGTGCCAAGTCTGTGGAAACACATTTTTTTATTCACTCTCACTGGTATCCTGGCTAACAGACAGTGAGGGCTGCCTATTCAAAATTTGCTCATAAAAATTCCCAAGGCAAATCTTTTGACTCCATGCTAGAAATTCTACAGCGAGAACACAGTATAATCACACCAGTGGTGGATTACATGGTCCTATTACAGCAAATCACTGTGAATGAAGCTTAGTCATTGTTTGAAGAAACTTGTAATAATCCTTGTTAAATTCAAGCATCTGTGTTAGTGATTTTTCACATTTCCCCTAAATTACAAATCCCTTTGAAACTAAGTCTCTGAATGTTAGAAAAACAACAACAAAAACCATAACATACGGCTTTCATTTTGAGGGAGGGAGTGGTTCCTTGGAAGCCTATCCCAAGCCCCATCAGATCAGGACAATGTTCAGTCAATTGTTTGTTTGTTCATTGCTGTTGAGATGGAACAGACTCACAGCTGGCCCGCCAGTGAGTTTTCAAAGGCAGTACATTGCATGGGCAAAGGGTGCCCGTCTTTCTCCCATGGAACAGCTGGTGGATTCGAGCCGTATGTCTTTGGATTGGCAGCCCAAGTCCTTACCCACTAGGCCACTGGAGCTCCCTTTCATTCAAATAGCATATTTATACTGAGCACCTAGTGGGTGTCAGACGCTGTAATGAACAAAGACCTACCTCTGTCCACGTACGGCTTCTGGTCTCCGTATTGCCTTTGAGTCAGAACCGACTCGTAGCGGACCCTCCAGCAGGGGCAGCAAACAGATCAGCAAACTCTGTGGTATGTCGGAAGGTGGTAAGTGCTATGGTGACAGTGCAGCAGAGAGAGAGCCTAGGACAGTGCAGAGAAAAGGCAGGTTGGACCTGGAGAAAGGATGACTGGGGAAGGCTCTCTGGGAAGATGACATCTGAGTAAAGACCTCAGGGAGGCCGAAGGGCTGGGCCATGTGGTCAGTCATCGAGGATATGAAAGGCAGAACGAAACAGGACTCAGAGGGAGGATGGCACCGGGCTCGCTCGTGGGAGAGTGAGGAAGCTGTAACAGAGTGACGGGCAAAGCAGGACCCAGAGGGAGGATGGCACTGGGCTCACTTGTGGAGAGTGAGGAAGCTGTAACAGAGTGACGGGGCAGGAGAAGGAGAGCCTGCGTGTCACAGGACCTCTTCCTGCGTCATCACTGTGTGGGGTCTTCCCTTTTCCACTGAGTGAAGTGAGGAGCCCTTCAAGGTTTGCACACAGGCGTGTCATGATCTGCCCCGTGTTGGCAAGACTCTGAGCTGTTGTAGAAAGCAGGCCGTGGGACGCATAGCACAGCAGCCTGGGGACTGCGAGGGGATTGTACGTTCAGACAGGACATGGATTTGGCCTTGAGCCAGGGTGGAAGCAGTTGGAGGCTGGCTGGATTTGGAAAGAGCTCTTCGAGGAGGACACGCACGGGAGCACGCAGGGTCTCAGGAAAGGGCGCCACAATTTGGGGCCTGAGAAGCTCCCTGAGTAGAGTTGCCATTAACTGAGCTGAGAAGGGCAGGACTAGTTGTGGAGGGAGGTGGTGCGGAGGCAGGCTGTACAGATATCCCTTCCTTCCTTCCCTACTGTTGGAGTGCAATTGTCCTGTTAGGGGAAAAACCCTCCTCTTAGATGTTACTTCTGTGTTCGGCCTCTGAGCTGTATAGTTTTATCCTCTGAAATGCTTCTTATCTGTTGAGAGGTCAGACAGCTGCTCTAGGACAAACCCCCCACCCCACTAGCCCCAGCCAAGCCTAGTGTCGCTGTAGGGCCTCCACAGGAATTCCCACTGCATCAGTGTGCCATCAGCTGCCCTGATTGGCACTTAAGAAAATGCCTTCCTCTCTGGGCTCCATCAAGATCAAGAAAATCAGCTGAGAAAGGGTGGCTTTGAGAAGGAAGCCAAGGACGACACAGGCTGCCTAGTCTAGGTCTTCTGTAGTTAGGATATCTTTGCTGGTGTCAGATGGATCCTAGCTGAAAGCAGAGAATACCAGTTGATGTCTAATTGTGCTTTATTGACTCTGCAAAGGCATTAAACTGTGTGGATCATAACGAATTATAGCTAACATTGAGAAGAATAGAAATCCCAGAACACTTAATTATGCTCATAAAAAAACCCCTGTATTTAAAAAAAAAACCAAAAAAACAAACCCCTGTATTTAGACTATGAAGAAGTCCTCTGCACAGAGCAGGGGAACTCTTGCGTAGCTTAAAATCAGGACAAGTATGTGTCAGGGTTGTATCCACTCTCCAGACCTGTTCAGTCTGTGTGCTGAGCAAATCATTTGAGAAGCTGGACTCTATAAAGAAGAATGTGTCATCAGGATAGAAGGAAGACTCATCAGCAAGCTGCATTATGCAGAGGGCACATCCTTCCTTGCTGAAAGTGAGGAGGACTTGAAAAGCTTACGGCAGAAGATCAAAGAATACAACCGTCCGTATGGATTGTAACTCAACATGAAGTCGACACAAATCCTCACCACTCGACCAGTATCTTCTCTAAGACAGATGGAGAAAAGATTGAAATCGTCGACTGTTTCATCTTACTTGGATCCATCATCAGAAGATCAAGGGCTCCTCACTTCACTTCATCATGTCAGAAGATCAGGAGACACATGGTATTGGGCAAGTCTGCTGTCAGGGGCCTCTCCAGATTACTGAGGAGCAATGATGTCAGTTTGAAGACCAAGGTGCACCCGATTGAGACCATGGTCTTTTCAGTTTCATGCACTGCATCTGACAGCTGGACAATGAATAAAGATGACAGAAGAGGAATTGATGCCTTTGAGTCATGGTGTTTTTTTTTGTTTTTTTTTTTAATTTTTTTTATTTTTTGTGTGCGTGTACCGTCAAATCAGATCTGACTGGTACAGGAGGAGATTGCCCCTCCTTCCCCGGCAGAGCATCTGGTGGATTCGAACCACGAAGTCATGGTGTTTGAGAACAGTACTGAATATCCCATGGACTGCTAAAAGAACAGACAGAGATGTCTTGGGAAAAGTGCAGCCAGAATGCTCCTTGGAGCAAAGTTGGCGAAGTTTGTCTCTCATATTTTGGCATGTTTCTAGAAGAGCTTTTCCTTGTAAAGGGGCATCATGCTTGGAAAAATGGAGGGTCGGCAGAAGAGAGGAAGACCCTCACGTGATGGGCTCAAGTGTATCAGAGATGATGGGGATGGCGCGAGATAGGACGGGGTTCAAATCTTTTGCTTTAGAGTCTCTGTGAGTCATGCTCAGTGGCCCCTAACAACAACAATGACATTATTAAGATGGGGATAGGGGTTTGGGGGGTTATAGGTGGGATATACATGTTCCTTTATATGTGAACCTTGCCAGCTTTGCTTTTCTTCCCTTATGATCTCTCTCGTGGGAGCACAGCATTGCAACCCTTTCCTAATCAGGAAGAATCCGAGGCAAGGCTGGTCTGTCCAGCTTTGTCAGCTGCTCGAGGTGGGGAGGGTGTGACATCAGAAGAGCTGTCTCTTCACTGCACTTATTGCCGGTGAAGACAGTGCCAGAGGCTTGTAACTGGAAGAGAGTGGACCCCTCTGGGCAGCTTCCTGGTTTGTAGCCGTGCCTTAGCCCCAGGGGCCCTTGAGGGGTTCAAACCACAGGGTTGGTGAAAGTAGGGAGAGGTGAGGCTTCCATTTCTCTCGGCTTCCTTGTGAGATTAGATGTTCATCTCAAAAATTGACCAGTTCATAGCAGACCTGTGATGAGTCCAGCTATCCCTGACTTTACAGACGAAGTGAATGAGGGAACCAGCTTGTCCATGGATGTGTGTACAACCCCAAATACTATACCCCTCGCCCTCAGCACAACCCATCGGGGAGATGCAGGCGTCTCCCTGGGGTGTACACCAGGAGTCAGTATCTGAGAAGACTCAGGAAATCAGGGTCCCACGTGGAGAAGGTGGGCGGAGAAGCAGGCTGGGACGGAGGCTTTGGGGTGGGTTTTTGCAAAGGAGGAAGCGATGCCTGATGGGAAATGATCGCACTTGATAACTGCTGACTGAAAGGCTGGTGGTTTGGATTATGGGCCTGGAAACCTGTGGACAGGTTTTGCTGGGGCTGGAGTCAGCCTGCAGGCTGTAGGCTCCCAGGGGACGGGGTGGAGGGGTAGATGGAGGGTTCTTCTCTGCCTGTCGTCCCCCAGCCCAGCCTTCTAAGTAGAGGCAGCCACAGGGATGGCCCCACACTTGGCAGGTCCCAGCGAGCTGCTTTCAGCCCAGGCCTGGCTCCTGAAGTTCGGTGGGGGCTCCAGTTAGAGAGCCTCAGGTAGCTGTTAGTTTTGAAGGTGGGAACAGTGCAAGGGAGAGAGTCCTAAGGGCCCCCGTGTGGAAGGTTTACTCTGGCTTTGACTTGTACACTGGATTTGTCATATGAAATGGGAGTGATGTTAATTTCAGTTTTTTGATTCAGCTGGGGGATCTGTGTCTCCTTCAGTTGCTAAAAGCCCTCCTGAGCTGTGCAGTTTATACTGGAGCTGTCTTTTCCTTTATTTACAAACAAAATTTGGTATTCAGGGGACTCAACCCATTCTGTTTAATTTTAGTACTTATTCATATTTGCCACATGATGAATTCCTGGAAGATGAATGATACTTGTTTGTTGGAGAAGGTAGAGCGTTGAAGCCGTTTATACCTTCACACTTTTAGTTTATCCGTCAGCTTTCTTCTGAGGAGGTGATTAACTGCCCATTTTATGGCAAATCTGTTCTAA